TATTGATATTTACTTTTTTTTTCTTTTTTCTTTTTTTGTTCCAGTTATGCACCTAAAACTTAAATAAGGTAAATTATGAATTCCTAAAACTGGTAAGTTATTGATTTGTAGGATATTAATTATCATATTTGATTTGAATTTAATTGCAAATCTATTTATTGAATTCTGAAATTTTCCCAAGGTATACTGACATCAACATTTGTAATAAGAGTTCATAAAAACTTCATATATACCTTAACAATAGGTAAGGTACCTATGCATACACCTCGTATGCAGTATGCAGGTAATTAAATCCATAAATTACCTCTAGTCTAGGTAGTTATACCCTCTAGCCCAGCTAATTGAACTCATATAATATCTTGGTATGGATCTTTAAACTCAACTAAGATAAAAATCCATACAAAATTTCTTTGGAAAAAAAAAAAAAAACACTATTACATGGAAGACATGTACATATGTATATAAATATGAACCTCCAGAAAAAAATGCTTAAGAAAACTCAAGAAAAAAACACTTACCTGTAAGGTAGGTACATATATACCTGTATGTATTAACATTATTTACCTGTATGTCAGGTACATAATTTAATGTGGGTGCTTGCCTAATCGATTGGTATAATATGTGAGTCTTTACTTTTTATTGATTAAATTGTATTTTATCTATATATTAGGAATATTATCAAGGAAAAAAAATTCAAAATTCAAAATTTGGAATTCAATTTCAAGGAAATAATGCATTAAATTTAGATTTTCAATATGATTTCCTTATTTACCTTAAAGGGTAAAATCGACACAACAAAAAAGTAATAAATGTCAAAAGACCTACATCTAAAACCAAAAGCACGAGGACTAGACCCAATGACAGCTAATCGTTTTGGACCTAGATTTAAGAACCCCTAAATGTAAAGATCGTTTTTGTACGTATCAACGGATGAAGGGGATTCAAACTGGACCTATTCCAACTTCAAAAGAGAAGTACCACTTGACTAACAATGAACATTAGAAGCCAAAATCAGACTACATCAATCTGGTTTGCTTGCTATAATTGGAATAATATCTATTGCACCCTCTTATCTAGACTTAACAGAAGCGTGCCTGAATGTGTGATGATCAGCTGAGTGCTCTAGCCATATCATCAAATTGCTTGAAAAAGTTGGGACAAATAGTTGACCCAACACTGACGAGAAAGACAAGATGGTTACCAAATTAAAATACAGGCCGTACAAAGCAATTACAAATGCGTATGTTCAGTTGATCATATAACGGGCCCTTCTGGAAACTTAATTTCAAAATCTGTTCATGGCACGTCAGAGTTGCAAGATAAGGACCCTTCTCATCTGTCGGCAGTCTAGGATATTGTTGTGTAGTGTGCTGATAGTTGGATCCCGTCGTCCCTAGCATTGCATTTTTGCATGGTGCGTTCTATCTTTTGTTTTTTATTTTTTTATTTTAATACAAGCAGGTTATGAAGAATACGAATCTTCGAACCTCTTTCAATATTCGAAAAAAAAATACTACTAAACTGAAAATTAGTCGATGCAAACTATTTTTGGTTTCTAATTAAGAAAAGTAATAAAGAAAAGCATTTAATTAAGAACATATAAAAAGAGAAATGAAAAAAGTGAGGGGAAGAAAACAGATTATTGAGCTACGACTCTACGAGCACCAAGCTACGTTCAAGTGGTTTTCTTGGGTGGATGGAAAAATCAGGATATAGTGCACCAACTCCAAGCTACGTTCCAAAGCCCTTATGCACACTTCATGATCGGTTCATAATTGTATATCATTTTGTACCCTTCTAGCTTATGATTTGGTTATGTTTTTTAGTTAAACTTGTGCTCTTCACATTAGTGCATTATTAGGCTGTGCAGCCTTTCTCCACAGGCAGGCAAAAGGTAGGTCTAGTAAATGACCAAGCATGGCCTTTCATGATTGCGTTCAGAAGCATCCACAAATACCTTTAAGCCAATCCTTGGTGGATTTGATGGAAAGTAACATAAATGAAAGAAAAATAATAGCGAGAAGGACGACACCTTGAGACTACTTGAACCCTTGAATCCAAGACAAAGCCCCTCCTCACCCCGAGTTTCAAACATGAAGCCCAAAAGACCTAGTGCCACGCCCACCAACAATCTAAACCACTCGAGTCCCAAAATCTGGACCAAATCCGAGGACACAGCTCATTGCGGCGGATTCAGAAATTTTATCCTAAGAAGTCAATGTGTAAAACTTACCAAAAAAATTTAGACGAAAAATACTCTGAACGATATTGTTGATATCCAAAATTGGATTCTACTTAAAGGGTGATATCTTCTACCTCAAGGGTAATTCAGCAAGTGGGGATTGATGTGCAGTCGCCTAGTTAGACTCCTTTGCATTTCTCCAATGTGGGTCTCTTGACGCGGCACAAGGTGGCGACGCATGTCCAAGGATAATATAGTTCTTCGCATGTACTAACAAATTTCTTGGCCTTTGGGCGAAGTTGATCATTGTCGTCCTTAAACCTCAACAAGTAAAGAAGTTGTAGCCTACCTTTAGTGCGCGTAATGTCTTAGTGAGCTTGACCATTGTCGAATCATGCTCGATCAGCTATAATATAAACAAATACTACTTTCATTCATAATTTCTAATAAACACAACCTTACAAACTATAATTGTCCACGATGAATTTTTATATTCTTAAAATATTATAATTTCATTATGAATACAAGGGAAAAAAAATCTCTCAATGTAAACAACTAAGCTATATATCACTCAACCATTGATTTCATATTCTGTTGTGAAGTGGACGTTTTACAATATTTATAGACGAAAATTTTCTTGACAATGAACCTAGCCCATCTAATTAATTAGCACATTTTGCACTTGGCTTATTGGAATAAGTACATGTTGCATTTATCTTATTTAATTCAAAGTCTAGTTCAATGCATTTGTTAGGTTTATGTTTGATACATACATTGTTCCAAGTCTTGGTACCAGGCACGAACCTGGGCTATAGCCCAAGTGAGTTTTATTCTTTTCTTATAGTTAGTGTTAATGCTAAGCATATATAATTAATTGTTGCTGGCATTATTGGTGTCAAATAAGCCTCTTTAAATAAATAAAATAAAAATCATATGTTTTTAAATTAAATTAATATATTTATGATCAATTCCATCAGCCTCCTTATAAGGGTTTAGTCAAGCCTAAACTCTAACAGTCTAGTAAGGTAAACTAACCCACTCCATTTTGAAATCCTAGGTTAGTCCCTACTTGTACATATGAGGTTATTTATGAGAGTTAACCCACTTATGGAGGGTTGTTCCATAACAATACTATTTAATCCCCTCCTCCATTATGGAATGGGACATCCTATTTTGACTGAATTTAATAGCCTTTGGCTTTTGAGAAGTAGGATTTCTTCTCGTTTTCTTAGTTGTTTGTCTCTGAGTGTTCACTTATTGTTTCTCTCTTATGGTGTGTTTATTAATCAGGAATTGAATTCCACCTATGGAGCCCACACAAAATTAGGAATTGAATTCTTGATTTTGGAGGACTTCAATTCTTGAGTAGGAGGTGGTATTCTAATTCCTGGAGAACTAACACATTAAGAATTCAATTTTTTTACCCATTATATCCTCACACAATTTTAAATTTTAAAATTTTTCCATCTACTTTAACCCAACAACGAGGACATTTTAGTAATTAGTACCACTCCTACCTAAATTCCATATGGTTTAGTAAACAATTTCAATAGGAATCTGGAATCTAACTCCTCTCAATCCATATGGTTTAGTAAACAACTTCATTAGGAATCTAGAATCTAATTCTCCTCAATCCAACTCCTCCTCAATTCAATTTATCCTCAATTCAACTCCTCCTAATCCAATTACGGATTAGTAAATATGTCATTATTCTCCATTTTTTTAGTGTGAGTTATCTTCATTAAAGCAATTGCAACCGATAAAACTAAAGCCAATATAATAAACAAATACAAAGTTGTTCTATGCATCCCTTTGTCAACCATTTTTATTTTCATTTTTTGCAAGACTACTAATCCCTTGCAATTTAGAAAAACAACTACTCAAACACATATGACAAATATAAAGCTCAAGTTGATCTTCATATGCTATAGGTCCCAATCTGAAAAATCTTGAGAATAAAATAGAGCAAAATGAATTAACTTTTGTTTGTCAAAACTACGAATGAATCATGCTGACATAAACATGTCAAACAAAGCAACTCAGTATTTACGTCATTGAAGCGATCGTTTAATTCTATAAAGTACTCATAAACGACATAAAAAAAAAGAGCTCCACACAATAATAATGATTGTTTGTCTTTATTGGAGCATTACATTGTGACCTTCCTCGAGCTACGTATGTCTCCAACACTAACCTATTTGCTTCACCCACACGATCATTGTAGCCTGGCCTCCGTGAAGGAGTATTTTTGTATCGTATTTTCGTTTCATCTCCATACTATAAACAAATTAAGGAAAAACCAGAAAAAAGGCTTTTATTTGCAGCCGACCTATTTTGCCCTTGTTTCTTTTGTAAGGGAAAAGAAAAAGTCTTACAATCACTAGCATTTGCGAGGCAGAGACGCTAGAAATGCCAATTTAAACTTTTTCTTCTTTGGTGAACTAAGGCTAACCATCTGGGTGGTCATCATAATGTCTCACTTCAACTGAAGCTGGCCATTGTTGGCCCCAAGGTCAGCGGTCCTCTACCGAGACCAGCCATGATATAGTTATGGTCATGACCACCTCATTAAAAACTAATTTGAAAAATTAGGATTTTGATGTATATCACGTCACTTTCAAGTTTAATGTCATACCATTCAATTAAGCGGAAACTAAAGCAAGAGAATCCAAAGGAAAACATTTACCAATTACCATGCATTCTCAGGCATGAAACTGAACTGATCAATAAACCTTACAAATTCAAATAAAGAAAAAGGCAGTCTTGTTTAACTAACACTTGGAAACCCTTAATCCCATATATCCCACAACCTCTATACATTTGCAAAAATCTACAGCCCATAAATCATACCCAATCAGTAGCCTCTACATAAACTGCCAAAGTGCCCTCCTGGCTAAAATCTTTTAGTAGGGCCAATAATTCAAACATTCGGATTCTTAGCTAGGTAAAAGTAAACACACCATTAGAACGATTTTGCAGAGTTCCTCATTAATACAACAAATCTCACCCCGCTAAAAGTGAGAAAGGTCAGGAGGATCATGGTTTGTGGTAGATAAACTTGGTCAAAATGAGAACCTCCAGAGAGCACTTAGTCTAGAATGCATGTTTGTCATGGCAAGCAAACACTAGGCTTGCTCTGAACATGTCCAGACCAACAAACTACAGCTAGTGGCTCATCACAATCTACTGCGCCTACGAACTCGGGTATAGGTTAACATTTCCAGACCAACAAACTGTATAGCTAGTGGTTCATTGTAAACTACTAGGCCTACCAGTTGCAGTGATAGGGGATGCTAGAGGAAAAGAGTGTTGGACCATCATACTGTTCTTCATGGCATTTACCGATGACGCATTGCCTTTTACAGTTTGCTCCAAAAGTTGAACAAGCGACATAAATATTTCCATCCTCGTCACATCCCTATTTGCCTGCAGATAAAACCTGGAAGTAAATGACCAATATATGGAAGCTAGTGTTGCATGTGCCTTTTGAATAAGCACTTGCATTCAACATGATAAAAATGAGCAGTGACAACAAAGCATATGCAAAAACACTTAATAGAGATCAAAGCTCGTGTTAAGGAATCCAATAAGAATGACACATCAACTTTCATTCTAATCAAGAAAATATTGGTAATAAAATTCAGGGCAGCGAAGGCCTAGAACAAACACACACACTCTAATCTCTACATTTTATGAGAAAATTAGAAAATGCGGACGCTTAAGATTACCATGGTGTCTTTGTTGCTGATACTAAGATACAAAGAGTTCCTCAAGTTTATATGTTTATTCTAATTTTCATTTTTAACCTAAATTAAAAGAATCCAACACGCTACTATATCCTTGACTCATGGTTCAAGTTAAAAGTATTTCCATTAGTTTTCATATAATGCGACCTTCACACTTTTTAGCACTTGCTTGGGAGATTGAAATGAAGCTGATGTTAAAAATCCTTTAGATTCCAGATAGCAGGACTCCAGTATGATAAATACAGATACAGCAGTTTGTGACCAAAGGCTTAAATGGTTTAAAGAGGGGCATGCGGTTAGTAGATTGAATGGGAATTTAAGGACTTCATGGTAGCAGGAGATTCGCCGATTTGCAGGTGCAGAATTTTTGGGTAGTTGTATTTTAGATGATGCTTGAAGCAGAATATTTTCTGAGTATTCAATACTCTATTTGATTCTGTGCTATAATAACTATTAAGAAGAGGAATTTTAGGCCTTAAACTAGGTTAGGGGTTACACCAAAGTTCAGGGAGAAAAAAAAAGGAAAAGGACAGAATTTTCACGGAATAATTACAGACAATCTCACTAACAAAGTTCCAAAACATTATTGCTAGACTGAACAAGCAAAGCATGTCACTAACGAAATAATAAAACAGAAAGGGAAAAAACAGAAAGGATAATTACAAATACAAAAGGCTTTTGAATATTACCTCTACTGCAAAGCGTGCCCATATCTTATCATTCCGAGCTTCCACCACCCCCTTCAAGATGGTCAAACCCAAACCTCTGATCAAATCAGCAATTTCTAAAAAGAAACCCTGTTCTTCACAAAGCATCTGGCAATAGAGATAATAAAACAGAAAAATATTGATACACACTTCACTCACAGCCAAAGCTCCAATTTCAGAAATTCAAAAGAATGTTAATCACTACCTCCACAAGCATCTGACGAGGTGGATTCAGATCCTCAACGATGATAGGGCAAACCATTGATTGTGACCCAACCTCAAAAGCCCATGTTGCCCCCCCATCAAAGTTGTCGTTTAGAACCAGTCCACCTTCTTTGCCAATAATCTGCATAGCAAAGAAATTTAGTGCACCATCTAAAAAGGTTTTCTGTCTTATTTGTTATATCTGAAAGCAAACAATGGTGTACCATCAAACCATGATAGCAGATAAACGACTTTTACTTCTAGATTTTATAATTTCTACAGCTGCCCTAATTTATGGCATCAAATATATAATATACATATTATACCATTTTGAAAAATTTTGAAGCATAATATTTCTTGTTTTTAAATATCTCATATCCTGACTCCCAACTTTCTCATCGATGAGAAATTTTCTGTTTAACAGCAAACACAGGGTAGAGAGTAGACAGTCTTTTGTACCTTAGATTCTCCTGTTTGTTTTAGCTTGTCAGCATGCTTTGTGACGCTTTGCAAGAAAAGCATATGCTTGATAGTGCGTTCAAGCAGTGCATCTATGCTACACTGTAAAAACAATATAATGGAATCAAAAGAATGGCATCGGCATCTGGCATCTGATTATTGTAAAATTCCAAAGAAGGGACAGGAAGCAAAGAACAAATATATTACTTTTGCTCCATTTGGCACAATATCCCGCAACTCTTTGACCCGATCTTGGATCTTCTGACGATCTTTTGGCCTTGGCCTAGGGTTCTCTCCAGGTTTAAGCCTTTTGCGATTTGATTTTCCCATTACATCAGGCCTCTTAGAATATGCAGTTGAAACACTACTCTCATGCTTCGCAGTATTACCCTGTTCAGCCCAAGAACTTATATGAGATCCATATATGGAGGTAGTCTGGGAATAGTTCCCCACATCATCCCTGCTACACCCAGATTGGAAAGAACTGGGTTCTTCTATCCCTGCTTTTCCAATAGCCTTAGGAAGGCCTGATGTCTCCCCATGCACATGATTAGGCATACTAACCCGTCCACAAGTGGGAGAACTGTTAGGCATGGAAGAGCTACTGATTTTTGTCAATGTTGTTCTACATGACACATTATCATCAGAGCTCTGCTTGACAGCAGACTGAGCCCTAGAGACCACAGCATCTAAAAGATGGTCAGCGCCTGCCCCAGAGAAAATGCTGCTGTTTGATATTCCTTGACCTGCTGAATAATAATCAGAACCCAACTCTGGCACATTTGTAAATGTCGAAGTATTCTCACCCAGGTCTTTTGTATTTGAACCTATCTCATCAGCAAGAAATTTATTCCAATTGCCATTAAACAGCTTATTTTTAAAATCCATACCCAAAACATCAAACAAATCAGCTCCTGATGAAATTTGAGTACAAGCATCATGTGTAGCATTTGCAGATCCTGGACTACAAATTTTATAATCAAGGTCATCATGAATAATATCAGGGATGTTCTCACTCAAAGACATGTGTTCATCTGGATGAATCAATGGGATGCTAAGGGCTTTAAACAATTCATGATCCATCTGTTGCTCTCTCAGGGCCAATTCAGTCTGAGTAAACTTCACATTGGTAGAAAACTGTCTCTGGTTAGAGCCTTTTGAAAGCATGTTCTGAGAAGCTGATTGACCTGCCACACTGGATGAAGAAACCCCTTCTGTTTGGAAATCATCAGCCTTTTGAAATTTACCACCGGACAGACGTCCACCACAGAGGTTGATGTCAGCTGCCCTGTGTGAGTCTGAAGGAGAACCAGGAACTAAAATTTGCTTTGAATGACTACTTGATCCACCATGTGCTTGACTTCCTCCAACCACTGAAGCAGTTATCGAACCTTTGCTCTGATCAAGGATTAAACTTCCATTTGTTCTCAATTGAGGCATGATACCATTCGACGCACTAAAGTTGTTATCAAGATGATACCTAATGCTACCACCAGATAAGATCTGATGTTCCATCAACTTTAGACTGCCCTGATTCGCACCTGATTGACCCAAACTAGATGGGTATTTGAGTCCCCTGCTTGAACTATATGAGGGAGTCAGCTGGTTCAACCACACATCAGAATTTGTAGCAATTACTTCAGCTCCCCCAACTCCATCCTTTCGTTGGCCGTCAAAAGAAAAGTTTGGTTTCATCAATGGAGAAACCGTTGGTTGTTGAGGGTCATCATGAATTTTAGGCAGATTTTGGGTAAGGTTAGGGGTTTGAAATGTTGAATCGGTAGTTTGAGACTTATTGTGAACATCTTTAAGAGAGTGAGATAGTTGGCCAACAAGGCCTGAGGCCCGAGATGAGTTGCTTTGATGTGTATAGTTATCAATCATCTGAGCAGAACCTGTTACCTTATAATTTCCAGCTGGATGCATAGGTGTCAGCATACCAGCAGTATAGGGTACTCCAGATTTCTCAACCAAATCTTTTGTTGCATAGTTTTCTGATAATAGAGCACCAGGAATGCATCCTAGTTGCAGGATTGAACTCTTCACATCATTGATGAATCCTATATTCTCCATCATCTGAAGCAGAATGGATACATTAATCAGGTTGGAAGCAACTGACAGAAATCAAGAATTGATTTGGCTAGCTAAAAAAAGGAACAGCTTGCGCCAGAATGGTCAAACTTGAAGAAAACATAGGTACTAATAGTAATACAGGGTAAAATAAAATAAAATACTCACATTGCTAAGGAATTTTTGTGTTAAAATCACATCCATTGTTGCCTTTTTTTATTTTTTTTATTTTATAATAACATACATCCGTTGTTGCTTGCAACAGTGCTTGCCCAGTCAAACAAATAATTCATTTGGCCTGAAGCCCACAACTATCTTTTATGTTATACAAAATAACCACTTCTCAATAGGTTAAAGTACAGTGCCCAGAGCTCTTCCTTACATATATTGCTAAATCCAGAGTTACACAGGTGAAAATTTACCAGGATGTACAACCATAGATTTTCCTCATGGTTGGATAAACCTGGTCGTTTAGCTAGAAAGAAGATGAACTCTGGGACAGAGTGAGGTTCTTGGCAGCTTTATGGGCATCGGTTTGGGATGATTTAGGGATTATTCTCATTCTTCTATAATTTTCATTTTGTTAGCTGTTGTGATGTGAGACTAGATTTTTCGAATTTAGAGCTTTCCTTGCTTACCTTTGTTTCCAGGTGGTCTGTCTTTTATTGTATTTTCTCCTCTCTTTGTATAGCTTTTCTACTTTAATAAATTGCTGTTTCTCTTATTTTAAAAAATTAAAATAAAGATAGAAAGTAAATGATAGTGTCAGGCGTGGGAGAATAAGATGCAAAATACTGGAACAAAATATTTTTTGGGTGATTTAAGGGAACAATATACATATCTAACAGTGCCACTTACATTCTGTCATCTAAATTCATTAAACCCACATGCACAACAAAGAAAACTAAATGCACATTACTGTGTAAATAGACATTCTGCCATCTAAACTCATTAAACCAATATATACTATAAAGGACTTACAGCCAGGGAAGAACCAAGTTGAACAACACCATGAGGAAGAACAGGAATAACTGCAACTGTCTGCAGCCCAAATAAAACACAAGTACTATTATGAAACATGAAAATATAGAATATGCAAAACAGTGGGACTATATTAAAACTGACATACCTGCATGCCAGCAGAAAATTGGTGGTGCATCTCATTTAGGACCTGAAACAGCCACAAAATCAAGTCATATAAAGTACAAATGCCAAACCCCAAAACTTGAATATAAGTCTTTAGCCTTTAGTGAATCCACATTTATGAGAATTTCCACGTGCAAATGCCAAACCCTGATTTCTTAAAGTTTTAGCCTCTCACAGACACCACATTAATGAAAACTATTTCTTTGTTTTATGGGGGACAAATTAATGAAAACTATTAAGAGGGTTCTACATCATTAACTTCCATTTAAAATTTAGTTTCACACATCAAAGCATAAAGACCAGCTACTCTGGAAAAGAGAAAAACCAACGTTCACATGTTTTTAATTATGAAGAATAGAGCCACCGAAGAACAGATCACCTTGATTCCGTATAATCTGTGTGCTTACTAATTAGGATCCTGACTTTCTCAGCAGGATTTCATTGAACTTTTCAAGTTTTCAAGGAAAAACTGCATTAAAAGGCATGGGTAGAAATTCTGTTATATCATACTGCATCCCCCACTCGCAGGAAAATTCTTGTTCACCAACCATCGTGAAAATTCAAAGACTGATATGCACTTCCTGATAAAATACTTCTATTTTTTAAATAAACATCAAACATACTCTTTTTTTTTAAGGAATTAATATCAAGCGTTCGATCTTCATTCAACAGTTGGTGAGCATGTACTTTTGTGACTATATATACGAACACACACACACACATATACAAACTTCTTATGAAATATATATTCATGTATATGAATGGGAATAAAGTGTTAGATGAGATCCTGCCAATGTGGGATGTGAGAGGCCAATCGCCTGGCCATGTCACATCCACATTGAGGGATCTCATCTTAGAAGGGGCCTGTATAAACATGTGTGTATAGTTGAAATTTATTGTACCATTTCCGTCAGCAATAAATAAGAAAATTCATATCAAAATGGGGTATTAGAAATACTAATATATACCTCCGGTGGATGGGCATCTTTAGTGTAATTGCTTGACAGAATCCATTGATGGTTTCCTGTAAATGCAGCTCGTCCCACTATTCTGAAAGGGTCCAAACAACAATTTTTAAAAATGGCTGCTAATAACAAAAGAACTTTAAAAATGAGATATATGCAAAGCAGCAAACATAGTTAACAGAAAGGTCATACCCTTCGCCCACTATATTAAACGGTTTATCCATCATCATTCTATTAATAAGTGAAGACACTCTTTCCTCTGGTTGAATACCAATAGAAGAGGAACACACTTCAGAAGAAACCCAGCAGCCTTCCCACTCTCCAAATGGTAATTCGGCTCTTTCAGTTCCAGCAATGCGTTTAGGTAGAGAACATATTGATGGTTCATAATGACATTCCCAAATTAATAGTCTGCCACCAAAGTAGAAGTATTTTCTTTAAACTCAAATTACAAAAGCCTCATCACTGAACAGATGAAAGTCCCAAGAACAGACATCAAAACCATCAAAAGATGGCACAGGTCATGAGCACATCAAAGATTTGAACATTAACAACAAATAATGACATAAAAAGTACAAAAAATAAATAAAAATACTTGAAGGCTAAATAGTTCAATTTAATTGAAAGTAGTTTTAATATGTGTCATAAATTATTTAAGTTTCAAACATATCTATTTAAAATGCATTTCTCAGAAGTGAAACAGTGAAGAAAAGATAGTAACTGGTCAGCAGAGAAAACTCTCCTTTTTATTTGGGTCAAAGCAAATTAACCTGTCATTGCTGGTGAACAAAATAATAATTAAAATACCTTTTTTGTTGCTTGAAAATATATATATATATATATATATACAAGAGAGGAGTATAAAACCAACAAGGAAGACAGATACTGATGGAATACTCATAGGCAGTAAATGAGTCCAATAAAGAGCGGGTTTGGCAAACAAAATGCAAACCCACTTTTCACTTAGATTCTTAAAGACAAAACAGAACAAACCAAAAACCAAAACATAAACTTCCAAAAACAGAAATAGAGAGACACAAGATTGCGAATCAAATACAAGAGAACACACTAAACAATGAGACTATAACATCTCCATCGTATCTTAGAATATATCCCAACCCTAGCCCTTCCAACCAAACGGAAAGAGACAACATATATCTGATAACAGATCCACCCTGTTTGGCCACTGAGAAAATGCAGGAAAACAAAAGAAAAATAAATTTGAAATAAAGTCTAAAATCTCTAAAACCTCAACCTGAAAAGTGAAAACTATCCGAACTTTTTCTCCACTTTCTCAGAGCAACCAAACAGACACATAGGGAGCAGAATTATTAGCCAAACAAAGACAAATTTTTCATAAAGAAAATGAGGACAAATAAAATAAGAAAACCAAATATTTTTACAGCATTGTTTGTGTTTCGTCCAATTTGTGGGGAACTTACTTAGGGTTTTGGCAGCCGATCTTCCAGAACACAGCATAAGCCCACTGATTGGAACCGCAGAGTGTCTTGAGCGCTTGTTTAAGCAAAAGCCCCATAGTTTCGGCTTCTTCAGAGCTCAAAAATCAAAAAATTAAAGCAGTAATCGGACGAAAACCACAAATTTACAGCCAATAGAAACAGAGAGCGAGGAAGCACATCAAGATATCAGTGCCGGAGACCGTACATTTCCGGCGCCTAACTTCCACGGCATGATCCTCTTCCCGCCTGCTTCGTCCTCAATCCACCAGTCCTCTTCCTCTCCGGATCCAAGTTCCACGAGTTCAATCGCAATCTCCGGCCGGCCATAGATACAATACGGAGTGAGAGTGAGAGAGGGAGAGAGAGGGAGAGAGAGGGAAACTGAACGAAGCTGAACGGTTTCCGAAGAATCTGAACCCTACACTATTCCACAAGCTTCGAGCCTGTAGAAAGCCTCCATTGTTCTTCTTGGTCTTCGTTTTGAGCTGAAAATGGTGAAATTTGAAGAGTTGCAGAGCAAACAAAAGAAGACGAGAGAGAGAGAGAGAGAGAGAGAGAGAGAGAGAGAGAGAGGGAGAGAGCGATGCGTGTGTCGTGGAGACTGTCCAATACGTTATCGTTTGCTGTGGTGGAGAGCTATAGAGAGGTCTGTGAGGTAAGGTGAGGTCGTGTTCAGGTTTTGCTTCAGCTGCTGCTGCTGCTGCTGCTCTGTTTGTTGCTGCGAAATTCTCTGCGTAATGTTTTGGAGTGCGCTAAAGTGCGCCACAATAAAGAGGCCGAGAGAGGTTGGGGCTGGGTCACAGCCTGTGACGTTAACTTTCCCTGCATTTCTTTTTTTTTTTCTTTTTTTTTTGGGAGTGTTTTTTTTGTCGTGTTTGAGTCAGATTGGGATGTAATTGTTGTTGGGTCTGAACAAATAAGGTTAGTGCGGGTTGCTGTCGTGATTACGTCATATTTGACACTGCCCTTGCTTTTTGGGTGAAATTACAGGAGTGGCAGATGGGGACGATGGCTTTGGATTTGAGTGGAAGAACACGTGGAGGGCTGCGATTGTTTTGGTGGTGTGTGTTTTTTTTCGCTGAAGTGAGAAAATAAAATAGGAAGAAATATCCATATCTTTCTTTTTTTTTTCTTTTTTGTGTTGCGAGAATATTCATAAAATCATGATTAATGATTAAAGCGGAGAAAAGGGCCATGATGGAGGAGATTTGACTCTTCTCCACTTTTTGGCTTTCTTTTTCATATTTTGACTTTTAATCTATTTGCATTAACACAAAATTCTATTGCAAAATCGACTCATGAATTAAGGATAATGCAATTGAAAAAATGAAGATGTGGCCAATTGAAAATGAAAAATAATATAATAAAAAATACTTGTCCAAATAATGAAAGTTATATCAATAAAAAATCACTAGCCTCTTCGCACGCGCTTTCGCGCTTCCGAGAGGCTTTTTTAAAAAAAAATTAAATTTTATTTTAGAATTAAAAAAGATAATGGGTAGTTATTTTCCATAAAAATAGGATCCATTATCCGATTTTTCTTTTAATTTTATTTTTTTTAAATAAGAAAAAGTGCGAATTTACCATATTATACTCATTTAATTAATAATTTCAATTCTTAATGTTTGCATTAACCAATTGCATTTTTTTGGTATTTTGAATGTTTCACTCTCTTCCTTTTGCTTTATATATATAGATAATAATAACTTGAAAAGTAACACCCGACCAAATCCAAGATTTTAAACTTTTATTTAATTATTTGAATAGGTGTCCATTTGCAATTGAGCCACTTTTTATTTCAAGAGGTGGTGGTCCTCCTCTTTTTTTAATGGTTTACGTCTCCATCCTAGGTCTTAGGTTCGATCCTCCTTTCTCCCAACATCACTTGAGTTAGTAGCTATTTCTATTTCTTTTCTTTGTTGAACATTCAGAAATAAGCTTTTGGTGTGCTCACAAGTGGTCTTGGATTCAAGCCCTCATAATATCTGTGTGCGTGAATTTCCTCCTCCCCTCCTAACTTTGACAAAAAATAAAAAATAAAACCCACAGCTTAGGAAATATGGTTAAACTCAATGGAACAGTACTGAAGCTTTGAGAGTTCCATACTTGATTAAATGAACACAATGATTTCAATCTCATCATCATGTGAAACATTTGTGCTGGTCATCATGGATGACTTTCGTTCTACCAAAATCACAGTTACATTGCCATCCACTGCAGTGATGGCACAAAGGGTTGATCTTGTCTCTACAACATTATTAGGATTCACTAAGAAGTTTTGTCGTCATCATCTTCCAAGACATAAAAATAAGTCATTGGTTGACACTGGAAAATCATCTTGAGCGCTTATTTTATAAAAGTTATGAGATGCGCGCCTTAAGTATATCGCCAAAAGCGATTTCTTAAAGGATATAGAAGGAATTAAAAATTAATTAAAAGGCACAATGTGTACTTTAGTTAATTGATATTCAAAATTGTTTCCGCATACTCAAATCTTGAAGGAGTAAAAATTTAATTGAGACTCCTAAAGAGTCCATAAAACTATTCTTAAAACAAACAAAGACTAGTTAGAATCACAAGTTTTCCCATGTAGTTTTTTAATGCTCAAAACATACCAATGCATGTAATATAACAATAGATCTTTATTAGAGACCTTGTGAACAAATTAATGAGAATAAGCTTTATTTTCATTCTGATTCTTAATAGTTAGTAAACAAATTAATTAATAGAAATGTTTTACTCGGATTCATGCTCACTCCAATTCCTAGTTAGTAAACATACAACCCTTTATGAATGATGAGTTTGCGAAGTTTTTTCGTTTTGCCCAAATTAAATGGCTAGATCCATTAAAACTTACAATTTGTTAGAGTCACTAAGCCATTGATGTGGTATTGTTTAATTTATTTTCTATTTGGGTCCATTCTCAACCTTATTTTTTTCATAGTAAGTGAAACACTGTCACATTAATTGGTGTCCAAAAAGAGTTAGTATATCTAAAATTAGTGTCTAGTCAAGTGGAAAAAGATCTTAACTTTGAGACTAACAGTCTCACGTTCGAACTTCCATGACAACTTAGTAGTTTGTGTGAGAAGAAAACCCCTCCCATTTGTGTTTTAGTATTTTTCTATTATTGCATGGATTTTTAGAAATTGAAACTTAAGTGTTTAATACTTTAAAATCTTTTTTCACAATAAATTCTCAAAAGCAAACATTATATTCTTGAACTTCTTCCCCACTATATGGGTGGGATTAATGGGTGAATTTCCTTACCTCAAATGACCAAGCCATCCTATGCCACTAGTCTAGTACCAGCCTTCGTGATATTTATATTTCTAGTCACGTGCTTTGTTGAGCCCAAAAATTCCACACCCCATCCAAGGAAAGTGGATGTTTAAACGCTTATTTACAGTAATTTTTTTTTCGTTCTTTCTCTTTACCATTTTCGCTTTTTCTTTGAGAGGTTCAAAAAACTTGCAGTAAGATTGAAGGCAAAAGCTCATTCCACTTTTGCCTTTTTCATTTTTATATTAGGCTTGTTGTGGTAGCGATTCTGTTCAGCTGTGTAGGGGTTGCAGGTTTATTCCTTCAAAACCTCTCTAAGTGGATGGGCATGGGCATCTATGCATGCTAGCTAACAACAATCAAGTGCGTAAATGATGCACCTATAGCCTAACATTTAGTTGTATAATACGTGTAAGCCGGGTAGTTGTATAATACGGTATTAGATGTGGTGTGGGCGGGGTTGATGGTGGCGGTGATGGTGGTGGTGGTAGCGGCAATGGTAGTACTAGTAACGATAACAGTAGTGGAGTTTGGTGGTAATGATGGTCATGGTAAGATGCCTCAAATACTTATGTGAGGAATACCTTTGTGGAGTCCTTTAATATTGTATTTTAGTGATTCGAACCGTCTATCTTTTAGGTATTTCTTTTAAAGATCATCTCTGTAAAAAATACTTGAATCCGAAATCATTTGACCACTTAATTAATAATTGTCATTTTAGCACTTTCTTGGAGCACTGTGTACTTTTTTTTAATAATGGTCACAACTAGATGTCTTAATAGTTTTCAATTCACCTAACTTTTTGTAAGAATAATCTATGAAATGAAAACCTAAAAAATAGACAGTTCGGATAGTTGAAATGAAATTTGTAGTGATATATGTTGAAGAGTCTTGTTAACAAAATATTTGACAAAATAAAATTATTCATATATTAGGAAACATAGCTAGTAAAACACAGTCCACCTTTTAGAAAATTCAAGGCCGTCAACATAACAATGATAAGTTAAGAGCCCTTGATAAACTTGTAAAAAAGAAAAGTTAGCTTAACGTTTTGTATCCCGATTTTCTTCAGTGTGCTATAAAGAATAAAATTTTATTATTCGTTGTTCTGTGACTCTGGCGGGCTGACATGCCAGTCACTGTACCAAACCCCTTTTTTTATTCAACTTCCAGAATACCATCTTTGTTTTATAAATATAAAACATATTGAAAAATATTTTTAGGTGTTTGTGAAGCTTGTGTTGTGTGATGCTTCTATTCTTTAACTGATCTTCATTATTAAGCCCTAATTTAATATCAATACTTCACATGGTGGGTAGGTCTTTTGGTCAGTAGCTACATATATTCGGGTCAAATATATACGTTTTGACGAGGTTTTTTCGGTCATTGGATTTTTCATACAAGTGATACTGGAAAGGAAGGAATCGAATCTAGAACCTCTAGTGTATGGATAAATATTTTTAATCACTTGAGTTGCAAACCCCGTATTATATTCCGGCGATCAATCTTCACCAACTTGTTCAAGAGGTATTAATTTTCGAAAAGTAAAATATATTATCAACACTTGAATCGGATTAGAATATTAACTGTTGGATTTTAATCCGACGGTGATAATGTGGTTTAATCAAAAAGCAACATGTACACACAAAAAAAGGCAAGTAACTGGATATTTTAATTGAACTACTGGTGACTACTCTGTCACCCTTTGTATATTTTTTTCTTCTTCGGAACAATAATAAATTTGTTGAGGCATGAAAAGATGGAGCACTAGTTGCAGACACATGAGAGTGTGTTCCTTTTTGTGTGTTGGTCTACTTTTTTTTATTTAAAATTTCATCTCAAGAGTAGGTATATAGTAATTTTTGTGGGGAAATGGGTAAAAAAAGATTCTCATGGAAGGCATAAGAGAATGTGTCCTCGGATGTTAAAATATCATTTTTTTGACTGAGACCTAATATTTATTTACTCTGGGCAATGAGATGTAGCCACTGGTCTATTTTTCATACAAGAGTATGATTTACTCAATCAGTCACTATAAAAGTTTGAAAATTTTATTTTCAAAGGAACACAATTATAAGTAATAATGAGCAAGCCTATGTGTCAAGAACTATTATGAAGATTAGCAACAAAATAAAACATATATGAACGGTTTTAAAACTAAAAATGAGTGTGGATGAGCTCTAGTTCAATTTAGCGGAAATAGCTAAAAGTAAAAGGGAGCTTTTTCATTGAGGAATAAAATAGTGTAGATTCATTATTGTCTTTTAATTTGAACCGTTAAATGATTTATAGATTAAATTTTAAATAATAATTAAATCTTGACAATACTTCATATCTTACATGGGTTTGTTCTCGAAAGTGATATATGGATTTGTTGAACATATACTTGAGTTTAGCTATTTGTGAGATTTTTCTTTTCTGATTTATGGGTATTTTTTTGTTGATTTTGTTATGATACGTGGGTTTATAATGAATCCGCACACTTT